TATGAGGGCTCGAACCGCGCACCACGCAATACACTGACTCGTCGTGAAAGCAACACAAGTGCTTAGCCTGGTAGTATTCAATGATCCTTTCAAAATTTACAAACATAGAAATCTGAGTGTTAATGCAGAGTGAAGAGTAGTATATATAATCATCTCCTTCCTTCACTAGTCTTTTGCGCTTAAAGCTGTACATTTCCGACGTGATATTGACATCATACTGAGTAATACAAAGTTCTTTTGGCTGTATAAGTTTAATACTTCTCAAGAAATACTAAGGGAAAAGGAAAATCAGAAAGTCGTAATGATTTCTTTCCTAAGCTCACTTTCGGCCAGACTACCTATTTTCAATTGCCCTAGTTCACTATGACGTCACATCAAAAGGATTATGGCTAAGGATTATGGTCGCAAGAGGGGATCAGAGTGCATACTTAACAAATAGATCTCATTTTTCCGTGCGTGTGTACTCTAATAGATACACAGATGATGTCAAAATGTAGTGAGAACAAAAAAGGTACGCACGAGACGCACTATCTGTTTTATACAACAAACAATTAGTTTTGACGTAATCCGTGTATCTATACTTTKATAACACACGAAAGCCAACCAATCAAAACATCTGATTTTACTGAAAAGTTGTATAAATATCAAATAAAATGTACATGAGCAATCATTTTTTTYAATCAATATACATGATAATATCAAAACTCAATTCATTAAAGTTCTACTTTAGGAGACATTATAATTAGGTTCACATTTCCACTATTATTGAGCACCATCTTCCAATGTAAGCATACCGTGATGCCATAATGAAATACAGTAGGCAGGGCAATTAGGTATATATTTAACAATTAGACCTCGAGGTCGAGTGGACTACGAGCTAATAGCCCATGAGGCCGAGTCCACGAGGCCGAGAGGTCTAATTGTTTTAGTATAAACATACTAATCAGTCAAATAATGAAAACAAATTGAAATATCCTTAAAGTAATTTATAATTCATAATCTATTTATTTTGATTTTCCCGCGAGTGGTCTATCACAAATTAGACCTTTAGTAGAGTAGCCAATCGCAGCACAGTATGAGTGATAGACCATTAGTATGTTTATACTAAAAGCTGATATAATGTAAATGCATGCTTGTAACACTATCATGTCAGTACTATTCCAGAAACATACCACTGGATAATCTGTGGAATAGTCCTTTTGCATTTAATGTCCACATGGTACTAAATCCCCCATACTGGAGGGCAAAATTCCCACTGGGATGTTCAAAACAAAGAAAAGTCAAGCTTGACAGCCTGTGTTCCTTTTGTATTTGAGGTAGTTTACATTCTTTTGCCATCCAGTATAATGGCGGATTTAGTACCATGTGACCGTCAAATGCAAAAGAAATATTCCACAGATTTATAGTTATCTGGTGGATACTGCTATCCAGCCTTCGTACAACCATCCCTGATGTAATTTGATGCTGATCATACTATTGATAATTCTGGTTTCTGTTGACTCTTAATTTTGGGAATTGAGAATTCCAATAAAATGGAATATTAATGTTTCCTCAAATTCACATCTTATTTTTTCTGTCGACAATAGCAATTCGGATAGTCTTTTTCTGGAGGAGATCTCATATGTAAAACACAAGAATGTCTAGAACAATACACAAAATAAGAATATTTACACGTTATCAAGCACTTTAAAAATCGACTCAAAGTAGGCTTGTTTGAAAATACTACTTTTAATCTGTGTACAACTTTCCTGCATCGCTTAATTATTGCTTTTGAATCCTTATAAACTCTGACACCAGTGGGTATAACGTCTGGTATTCCATCATGTGTCATTGCACTGCATTCCAGATAGGTGTCTAACCCAAGCCTTTGCACAAGAGAACGTCCTTCCTCTGCAGAGACTATATCTCCTGAGTTTCTGAGAATATAAATTGCAGCGATTTACTTTGCTTTAATAAATATGTCAAGGATTTTATAACAAAACTAATTTACAGGTTTTTGCAGCTAAGTAGGAGGGGGCAGGCGAGAAGGGGGAAGTTTATATAGGAATTGTGACTTGCATTAACAAATATTATTAAAAAGATGAATTCTAACGCATGCTCTGATTGGCCAAAAAAGTGTGGTTTATGAGAGTATAAACCATGATTGTGATCAAAAAAGATTTTTGCTCAAAATCTTTCAGTTCGTGCTTCTTGACATTTTCTCGTGTGTTTAAAATGCCAAGCGTGCGTTTATCAGAGTATAAACCATGGCTGAGCCTTATTTATTTGTTAAGTAATGAATAAGAGTTAGGAATTTTAACAATTAGGTTTTGATTGCAAACGGGAAAGTACTACTTAATTAATGTTATTTACATTTAGGGAAATAACGACCATCACAAGTGGGATTATAATTGAGTCATAACTCTGAGTCATGGGATATAATTAATGCAATGTAAATTCAATGCATTGATTGACATTGCATGACTCCTACATATCCATTTCCTCAGAAAAAAATATAAATTAAAAAAAAGAGATACAAAAGCACAAAGAAACGATTAAATCTACTATTACCTGTCACTGCTGTTCCATAAATCAGTCTTATTTGCGACTAACACGATTGGTAAGTAAGGGGCAAGATGTTTCACTTCCGGTAGCCATTTCTGCTCCACACTCTCAAACGAAGCTCTATTTGCCACATCAAAACAAATGAATAAAACATCAGGTTCGATCCCCACAAATGCAAGAACCCTTATGTCCTCCTTGCAATCTCTCCCTGGAGCTTCAGCGACATCTAAAAAATAGTCGACTCCATCAACAGTTGCGTAGTGAGCCCAGTTCTCGAAGTCTGCGCTAGGAATGTAGCTTGAGGGATAAGAACCAACAATAGCAGCAATCGTTGTGCAGGTTTTGCCAACTCCATGATCACCAAGAAACAGAAATTTAAGTCTGTTTGCATTTCTTGTACAAATGCACATTTTGTGCGTGACTTTTGAAATGATATTCTCACATCTATKTTATTTTGTTCAGTAAGTGTTGATTTTCAGCCAGAGCCTGCGTTGTCGAGAACCAGCGGAGCAAATCTTGGGTTCCCTGTGGCTGTTATATAATCCAAGATGGCGACCAGTTGGGAAAGAAGTCGTTCAAATCCATGCAAAGCCGAGTCTAAAGCTTCTTTAAAATGTTTAGACGAGAACAATTATATGAAAAGTAAGTGTCAAGAGTATTTCGACGCTTATAAGGAATGCAAAAAGGCTTGGAACGAACGGAGAGCCGAAAGAAGACGCCAGGGACTGCCAATTGACGATCCATTTCCTGAACAAAATCTGAGTACGCCAAATTAAGATTATTTTTTGATGATATTTTTTCAAAAAAGAGAGACTCCTTTTTACTCCTACTTCATGTTGCTGATTAGGATGGTATAATCAGGCATAATGGATGCATAAAGATTGATTCTGAAAAGATGGACATACAAGAGAACATCTCATTCTATTCCATAAGATAATTCCTCAGAAGACCAACAATATAAGAAAAAGGAAAAAAGAAGTGAACGGCGTTGAGAAAAAAGACGATTTGTAGGATTGATAAAGCTGTGAAATATCAAGGAGGAATGTGTCTATGTACTGCTTTGTCTTACTAGATATCACCAAGGGGTACATCATTGTGTACAAGCAAAGTTATAAAATCAACGAAAGGCAGATTTATCATTGATCAGTACATTGAACAATTAAATATTTAGTAAAACTTCACTTTAGAAGTGAACTGAAAATCTGAACCAAGAAAATGTGAGAAGCCGAAGAGGGAATTAGTGGTCTTAAAAATGAAATATATACAATGCTAAAACAACATCCCCGGTTTCTCTTGTTTAGTTTCCAGAGGTTAATTTTTTTGCCTCTCTTTTCTTGCATTAGACTGGTATTACATTGCAAACAAATTAAACAAAAAGAGGCATTAAAGTCAAATCTCTTGGCTGGTGTTGGTGTTGTATTATCATTTTGGTGACTTCACCCTAGCTGAAGGTGACCCTACAGTAGTTGCCGAAATTGTTGGAACGTTTAGACATTTATGTGCGTTTCACAAAACGCAAAAACAAATGACTGAATTCATCATGCATTTGAAACCTGTGTAATCATACAGCAACATTGATTTTAAGTGGGGCCAGGGGATTATTGAAATGGTATAGTAGGAGAGGGAACTAGTATTTAGACCTAGTATTAGAAGTCGTCTCATTTAGTCGTTCCAAGTAATTTTGCCAACGATTGTAGGATGTAAATCAGGTATTAACAGTGTCCAACTCTTTATTATCCTAAAAAAATCATAAAACACAAACATCATTTTCACCTTTGCTCCAGCCATTCACTCTTAAATACCTATGGAGGTTGGCAAGAAAAGAGCCAAAACAGGGCGAAAACATAGAGTTCGAAAGCAACACTAAAGGAAAAAGTGTCAAGCTAACAGCCTCAATTGTCCTCTTCTTTATCACAATAAAGAACATGACTCATGCAATATGAGTGGAAGGTGAGAAAGGTCACTATAAGTACAAGCGCATCCTGTCATACCTGACCTTTGTTTGAAACGACAACTAAAGAAGAACTCAAAATCCATGAAATTATCAGTCTTCTTCAGTAAGTGTCACTGACAGCCTCATGAAGTCAACGGCATTGTACACCATCCAACTGCCCATCAGGGAACGTTTCGCAGACAACACGATACACCTGGCCATCCATGTGACTATTTAACGTGACCCAAATCGCCATAGAACAACAGGACATCTAGCTTCACCAAGCTGATGAACAATCTAATGGATGTCACGAATCATTCAAAATATATCTGCTTTTTGGTTGCTATATATGAAGGTTATGTATTGACCTTTGTGCAAGAACTGAATATAAGCAAACGGATGATCGTTCTTGGGGCTATTTTTTCAGCTTTTGTGATTGGATGACATTTTTAATGCAGAATAGACTTTCTCTTTAACGTTTTTGCTCATTTGCCTTGATATTCACTGTCCACAATCCCGACTGATTACGTCTCACTGTCATGAATCACGAATGCAAGTCTTTTCATTGATTTCTTAAGCGCGTTCTATAGAAAGTGATAATCCCATTTTAAGAAACATCGCTTTTTAAACGTGACTTCAGTTTGGTAATAATAATAATAATAATAATAATAATAATAATAATAATAATAATAATAATAATAATAATAATAATAATGATAATAAACTTTATTTACGTGTCAGATTGATCTAGCTTACAATAGTAAGGCTAATTGGGGACACCTATCTAAGCTAGTTATAATATATAAAAAGATAATATATACTAGAATGCAGTCCCTCACTATAAGTACCCATACAAATAGTACTAGTAATTAGTAATTAGTAGTTAATTAACAAGGACACAAAAGACAATTTTTACAGTTAGTATTAATTTTACTATCAAGATCTAATGATCTGATTAGTTTTTTAAAAGATTCAAACGTTTCAGCATTACTTATTGTTTTATCAAGTTTAGACCAAATTAGAGGTCCTAAATACCTCAAGCTATGCTTCCCATAGGTTACTGCAGTATTAAATCTCGGTATGAAAAATTCATTGTTTCTAAGATTATAACTCTTTTAGTGTACTTGATAAAAATGCCATGCAGAGTATTTGGGCACATTCTATTTTTAACTTTATACATAATTTTAGCTATATCCTGTAATCTCCTGTTCTTTAGTGTAGGTATCTTTGCCATAGCAAGTAGATCCTCATATGTACATGATTTTTGCGTTTTCTTGTTGAAAATCGCCCTTAACGCTCTTTCTTGCAAACGTTCAAGTTTTCTACTGTCTGACGCACGACAAAAATTCCAGACAGTGTGACAGTAAGTTAACTGAGGTAGGATCACTGTTTTGTAAATTGTCATCTTACACCTGATAGGCAGCATGTTCCTTAGTCTCATCAGTACCCCAACTTTCCTTGCACCCTTCTTGCACACTTCTGCTATGTGTGTTCTAAAGTCGAGGTTTTCATCAATAGTCAGTCCTAGTAATTTCATTTCAGAATTGCGTGTTATGTTTTTGTTTGCCATAGAGATTGTCATATTTTTTTGGTGAAAATTAAAACGGTACCCTGCGGTCGCAGTAGGTTCAAAACGTAATGCTGAAGGTCTAAACAGTTGATTCTTATGCTGATTTCACGTTTTAACATATTTGTCTTTCTACTAYTCATAGGTACAGGACGAAAATTTCAAAATGTTTTTCTTCGCACTTTAAAAAATAGAAGCAGTGAAAAATAAACAACAACGWCAAAGAAAACAAAAACAAAAAACAAGGARCTATTTTTTTTCAGTATTGACTTTGGTTTACGAGCATGTAAAAGACTATGTACTTATTGACTGAGTGTGAGGGCCGTACGCTAACTCTTTTTTGATGAAAACTTCATGCCGGGAAGATACGGGGTTTGTGCGGCCCTGTCACGAAAAGTTGTACGGCCCCCATCACGTGACCATTTCCCAGGTTTTTTTAGAGCGCGCGTAGTGCCGAAATACGGGTCACAGAGCGGATTTCGTATGAGTAATTGTACTGTAACCAAATTCTAGTGCCACATTGGTTCACAAAAATTGTGCAGGCCAGGTCCGGTAACCGTGCGGTGATTTCTACCGTACGTTTCCCACTCATACGAATTTGACTCAATACAATGATAAATTATATTATGTATTTTTCATCGAGTTATGTGTGACCAAGGTAAATGTTGGCAGCGGTCGGGCATGGTCAACGTAACTCGCGTACCTGGGAACATTACATAACCCCGTCAGACAGACAAGTCAGTGGTGAGTTTTACCCAAGCAAAGATCAAAAAGTAGGATATTACATACTCTCGTGATCTCTGTTCGACCTCTCTTCTCATCATTCTTTATCATAATGACTGCAATGTACATAACTTGATTCCAATGATAGTGCAATGACATTTTAATCAAGTATTCGTCTTTAAGATCGCTTGCTTTATTATTTTAATATATATGGAGAGTATTCAGAGAAGTCAAGATCATCTGACCAGAGAAAACCAGCACAAAACAGAGAAAAAGTTCATCAACTTGTACTTCTTCCGGTTGACATTGTTTCAAGCGAACTTATGTTTTGCCTTCATCGCAGTTGCAGGACAAGTTGGTCAAAGTATCAGCCTTCCTCTGTGGTTATCAGCCTCGCAGTCCAAACACAAAGGCCTAATAAATGCAAACACAACCTCATCATCACCAAGTTACGTCGCTGAAATGGATGCCTATTTTGTATTGTCATTTGCAAGTCTTTCCTTTGTTGTTATATTTGGATCGATGTACGCTATTCTTGTGTACTTCTATCCTCATTTCTTTGGTCCAGCAGAGCGCCACTTTTCACATAAACTTCTCTTTGCGATTGGATTTTGCTGTGCTTTGAACGGAGCACTTGTGGTGTTCGCAAGCCCACCGAGCAGAACTGCACCGTATTTGCAAGCTATTCTGGGAAATTTTTCGGTCCCCCTTACGATCCTTACTAGGTATGTTATCCGCGGAAACAATGAAACTTGATGTTACAAAAAACAAGTATTCTCCCGAGACTAAAACAGCTCTATTCTTGGTGTGCAAGCACGTGACCAAGAATATCCTGAGAAATAAAAAAYAAAGCTATCGCCGCCATSTTGGATGAATGAACAAGAGAAATTTATGAGAAATGCTTTGTGATTTTCAGGGCAGCGTGACGTACTTTGCACGCCAATAATTACTTTTATTATGAGAAGGAGAAATGAAAGGATTGCATAACGATGTGTCAGTTTTCAGTACTGTCTGCACTGAATATTCGGCATGTTTCAAGGTTTGTCATTTTGAAAAAGAAGCCTACACAGCGTAAGTTCGTATGTGGTATGATGATTCTAATCTCACTCTTCATCTGCATGCTACCATCGATCTTTCCTAAGAAGCTTGATCCCCACAGAAAACACGAGGAGGGACAAAGGGCGAGTGGTGTTGCAGGAGTATTATGGCCTCTTTGTTTTATGGTTGGATTTGTAAGTCAGCAGTATTTTCTCATTTCATTCGACCCTTACCTTTATCAAATTAGTATTGATGCATTCAGAATAATGTTTATATAGTCAGGGATCCACCTGTGCACAAGTGCTAAGGGGATCCTAAGGAACACGAAACATGTTGTCGTCGATTTTGTCTCGCACTGACGGCCACTGCGGCGGTTTTAAAAGTGGTCCAATATGCATGGCCTATCATAAAAACTAGATAGCCCGCTTGTGGCGTAACTGGTTTATAACTATTGTTAAGTTTAACTAAATGTCAATAAACCTGCCAACATTTGTATTTGGATAGCGCATTTAATATGAAAATAGTGAAAAGAGGATGTGACAATTAATTCGCACCAGTAGCTTCTTTCTTGTATCTCTCGAAACACTGTGTGGAATTGCTATGGAATAGTGTCTGCCAATTGCGCCTTAAACAGCGGTCCGTGTGAAATGATCTATACATGTGAAGCGCCTGTGAACTCAGAGGATATCGGCGCTATATAAATACCACATATTATATTATTATATTATATATCAAAAGTACAAAGATAGTCACGTAACCCTTTTACATGGAAACAACTCTATAAGATAAACCTTACTCTATTTGTATGTTCTTCAGAATACGTTTTATAACACTACCGCTCATTATTGTTACAATGCGACGCTGTTCTAAAAAGCGATCCCTAGTTCCTATATTTGAAATAGGCGTGCCACACCAAGAACAATTGATAATGATTTGAGGGATTTCCATCACCGATAATCATCATCATCGACAAGATCCTTTCCTCGTCAATTGTCTGACTGTCAATTTCCTCTTCAATAACATTATTACATGGCTCTCTATACTTATTCTCATGCAAGAACAAGATCAGTGGTGCATGGGTGTCCTGATTTTAACACCTTTCCTTGGAACAACCACATTTCGATTCGTCTCGGATTTGCTTAACCTTCTCAAGATTCTCACAACCTTCCCTCGTGTTTGCATCGGAAAACACGAAAAAAATTTATAAATCGCCTTAAACACAAATTATTGCTGTCTTAGTTATTTTTGCTGAAAAAGTTCATGCATATAGTTATTCTTTATAGGCGCCCAGAACGTTGATGTACGTTATTGAGGAAAAAGTGTTAAAGATGCATATTTCCCTGGCATCACAACGCATCAATATAGTATTTCTTCTCTTCTGGCAGTCAGTCTATCAGTTATTGTCAGTAGTCCTTTTGTTTTGGGTCGATATCATCCCGGGCTTTGGTTTTACATCAAACGTTGAACAGTTTTGTAAAAAGTAAGTAGTTGTTTAACTGCATTTCACAATTATGTTATTTGTGGTGCTTTCCATTTAGGCAGAACTGGCCGGCCAGTCCACTCTATTTAGAGGTATATAATGCTTTTTGTCAACATTTTTCAGTCATTTCGAGGTTTTCTGTAGATAATGGATAGAATCTGAAAATTTGAATTTCCTAACTAAATGGGAATGATATATAATGACATTTTCTCTGGGTCTGGCCAGCCAGCTCTGACAAATGGAAAGCGCACTCGGTTAACGTATTAGATATTACTATAGAGGCTTAAGCTATCAGGAGGGTTTGGAGAACTCTACTTGCACCAACTTTAATATTACGCGTCAGCTTTGCAAAGCTTCTCAATAAAAGTATACATTTTCTGAAAGGTGAATTGATGTACTGTTTGACTACCAATTGAATCGAAACCTTATAGAATTTTTCCCAATCGATTCTGATTTAAGCATGGTGTAACTTTACTTTGTTTCAATTAAAGTCCACAATCTATCAGTCAGAGTTGCTGCCTATTCCACAAGTATGGTTATACTAAATCCAGATAAAACCGGTCTAAATACAAATACAAACCTCGTATATAACCTCCTGAAATACTCATTGAAACAAAACATTATGATAGTTTGTTTATCATTTTTTCTCAGTTGGTGGTTCGGTTTACAGTGTTTTTTCGGTTCTGCGGGATGTGGTAGTGATCCTGGTGTCAGAGGCACAATGTTTATTCTTAATTACATATTGACGTTTCTCGGTGGAGGTCTCTTGATGAGATATACTGAGGGTGCAACGCTTCTATCTATTGCTGTTGTAAGTACTGTATATTTTAGCACGCAATGCAACGTTGACGAGACGTAATTACTGCAATTTAGTGTTCTCAGTCAATTCGGATAAACGTACTGTCATGTCAAAAATTATTGACTGACATTTCTTGATCTGGTTGTACATTCAATAGCGGCTTTGTTACAGTCTCTCACAAAGTAAGCTGGTGTAAGTGTGCATGTAAAACTAAAGGTGTCTAAAGAGATTTTTAACAGTTTCTCTTGTCTTCTAAGGTTCTTTATAGCTTAACAATATACTTTCCTTCGCTCTCATTGGTGGAGAGTCGACCACGTGACGCGATAGTGCCCGCCAAGGATCGAAATTGAAAAAAAATAGGCAGGCGAAGGCTGCCTGTCAGTCAGGGGCATTCACTTTAATGCTAGAGTCGAGTCGAGTCGAGTCGAGTCGAGTCGAGTCGAGTCGAGTCGAGTCGAGTCGAGGATGTTTTCATGCAACTTATATTGCTGAAATGTTACACTAAATTCAGCTAAACCCCTCCTTGGTAAATATACACCCCTATACACCTTAATAAGGTCTCGCACAATCTTTCGTGATTTAATTTGTCTTTTTTTCATGAATTCTCTAGTTACGCCTTTGGG